GGGCCTGCGCTTGCCGCAGCATGGTCTCCGCGGCCACGCTGATGGCAGCAGAAAGCAGCTGCGCAGCTGTGGAGGGATCAACCTCGCTTGAGATGGCTGTGGGTCAAAATTGAACCACCAGGAATTGGACCGCAGGTTTTTTCCGCAGGGTTCCATTTCTCAGGGCTCCATTTAGGGTACCTATTTTGACCAACAGCCAGATGGCTTGGCACAGCCTCGAGGTGTCCTGTGATGATGCAGCTGACTCTGAGCAGCTTGCCGGTGGGCATGGAACAGCAATCACGATTCCTCGAAGAGCCTCGGAAGTGTTCAAAAACCGCCAGCCTGAGAGCCTGAGCATAACAAATAGCCGGTCCATGGGCGTCCTGCAGCCAAGCCGCGTCTAGGAGTACATCCGAAGCACCCCGAACTTCGATGCTCTTGGCCAAACCCTGCAGCACCTTATAGGTGAAAATTTTGTGGACAAGATGGCATGTCAGCGACAAGCAAAGGCATCCCTGCCTCCGGCAGAAGCACAGGGGCGTTGATTCCGGCTCTCTGCAGGGTCTCTGCTGCTGCTCTCAAGGGTTGGTCTGATGCAGAGTCGATAGGATGACGCACCAGGACCTCTTCGAAGAAATGCCAGGATTGCCGCCAAATGCCAATGGCAGGATGCGCATCTGCCGGCTGGCCCACGGGAAGCAATGCTGCCAGGGTTTCGAAGAGTAGGCGCGTAGAGGGCCAGGGGGCACCTCTCCAGCTGGAAGAGGACGCTTCTGACACTGCTGCCTGCGAAAGGCTTGGGACCACCTTCGTCGCCAGGCTTTGGCACAGCAGCTCCGGTGCCCTGCCCATTGCAGACCGCAAGGCGGATAAGTACAAAGCCTGCACCTCCAAACGCCGCTCCTCCTGCGTTGATGAGGGGTGCCATGACGCGAAGGCCAGCATGAAAAGCTTCTCTCCGATTTGCGGGCTGCAGGAGGGCAGGCGTTGACAAGCAGCCTCCAGGGCCCTGGCGTAGGGGAGCTCTGTGACCTCCAGCATCTCTGGACTCCCAGCTTCTGTGGGAGGCCTGCAGGGGGTACCGAACAACAGTTCCAAACATCACAAGCATATACAAGAAGCATGCACATTGCAATCATACCTGCGCAACATGGCCCATGACTGGAGGACTTGGGCTCAGCCATGCTCAACCACATCGAAGCGACCGATCAAAGGCCTGGCCAACATCCAGTCCAGCAGAATGGGCTCCGAGTTGGGCGGCAGCTTAGAGTTCACCGCCGCCGCCAGGCTGCAGGCGGAGCACCACAGCAGGCCCCGCCAGGGCGGCAGGGCCTCGTCCAGGCGCGGCAGCCGCGGCACCAGCATGGCCACGGCCTGCGAGGCCGCCTGGGCGGCCAGACTGCCCATGTCGCCCTCCGGCAGGCAGCCGCAGAAGGCCCCGAAGAGCCAAATCACCACTTCGATGTCCCTGGCCGCATCAATGGGGATGCAGCCCTCATCTTCGTCAATGCCGGCCAGCATGGTATCCACTTCTTGCAAGGGGGTCCAAAGCTCAGACCAAGTCTCTGCATTCATCAGTGCCGCCCAAGGTCGCAGGGCTGCTTCTACCGCCTGGCGGGCATTCTGTAATGTTGCCAACGCCTCGTCATCTTCCGGCACCACAGGGAGTCGCAGGCACTGCAAAAGCTTCTGCAACAAAAGCTGAAACAGAAGGTTCACCATCGTCGCCTCAGCCAAGCGCTCCCGCGACAGTTGCCACCTCTCGTTCCTGCGGCTCCGCTTCTCCGGAGGAACAAAGCCATTCGAGCCGCGGCTGCTGAACGTCTCCGAGGCACGCACTGCCGCATGCAAGCTTTCTGCGAGAGTATGCCAAACTGCGATGGCTGCTTCCACGTCCAGCTCCTCCGTTGTACCTTCTTCCCACATCGTCGAAGCTTCCAGAAGCAAAAAGGCTTGCTTGGCAATGACTTCGCAGTCCAGGTCAAGCTCGCCCACTGCAGCCTTCGGCCAGAAGTTTTCAGCCAAAGCCTGCAAGAGTGGCAACAGCCACGTGGGCTTCTCAAAAGAGACCTCCATGCCGTCCTTCATCACTTCCTGCAGCAGTGGCTTCAGAATCTCTGCCGCTTCCGGTGGCGCGCTGTGCCACTTGGCCAGCTGCTCCGCCACCTCCGCGGCCTCAGTCGGGGCGAATGTGGCGGCCGCCAGGATCGTTGGCATGTGGGGCGCCAGTTGCCTCAGCGGCGCCGCCGCGTCGCAGGTGGGAAGCCACAGCTGCGCCTTGCGCACAGCTCGCAACCAGGCGCCCAAGATGCGCAGGGCCTGGTGAGGCTCCACCTCGGGATCCTGCGAAGCCGACTGAGGCTTTCGGGCGATTCTCTCCACGCCTGCCTATGCTTGGCACTTAAATTGTTTCTGCGCCTGGAGTCTTCTCTGCGTTTTCCCATGCTCTTCACTTCCCACTCCTTTTGCCTGTTCCATTTGGCTTGTCAATTCTCAACTTGGTGTTGTCTCACAATGGCCCTCCGTGCGTTGGAGAGCAACGGGCTGAAGTGAAACATGCATGGATCTAACGCAAAAACAAACACGTCCAAAGCATAACCTCCCAGTCTCAAACGCATATAAACGAATAAACACTCCCCCATCAATCCCCAACTTCTTGCCTCCCTCCCCTCCCCTTTCCGCGTTTTTGTTGTTCCTGCAAAAGGAAGCCGAAGACGGGGTCGCAGGACCGGAAGAGCGAGGTGGCCGCGTGCTGCCGCAGGCCGCGGCTGGTCAACGGCAGCGCCTTGGCGTCAAAGAGCAGCTCTGCCGGGAGCACCAGCCTTTGCTGGTTTTTTGGGACCCCAGCAAAAATATGTTGTTTTTTGTGTTTTGTTTCTTTCTGGTTGGTGGAAAACTAATTCTGGGGACCGCAAAAAAGCAAAAACCATCTCAAAAAGGCGAAGCTAACTCTGGGGAAGCAGCAGCTCCCGCCGCACCAGGGCCGGCAGTTCGCTGCTCACGACGGCCGTCCAGGTGCCCAGCCAAAGCCTTCGAGGTCTCGCAAGCCGGCGCCCGTTTTTGGGAGGGAAAAACCCGAAGAGAAAGACAGGGGGTGGCGAAAACCACAGTTCTGAGAGGTAAACAGCAAGGTGAATTGAGATTCGATTTTGGATTTTGGGCTGGGTTAAGGGGTGGTTCTGGGGCTAGCTTCTAGTTGGTGGTTGGAATGACCTTGGTGTGTACTGTATACAATGTTTGAGCCACTGACATGTGTGTGTGTGTGTAAGGCTTGTTGAGGTTGGGTTTAGCGTTTGGCCAGGGTGGGGTGGGGGTTGACTTGGCTTGGACTAAGGGTTGCAATGCGGTAAGATTTGCCTTGAGTTAGGCTTGCTTGGCAGTAGTTGTGTTGATCAGCCTTGGGTAGCTCTGGATGGGGTCAGGGTTTAGCGTAGGGTTGATGGCCTGAAATTCAGGGTTGGTGCTTGGGATCTGATCTCACCACCCAACCCGTCCAAGAGGCTCTGCACAGGCCAGGGCCAAAGCCAACTGCTTCCACACCAGCGTTTGTCCGTGCGCGTGCATGCGCAGCAAGGCCTCCAGCGTGTCCCTGGCGGGCGGCTGAGCACTGGAGTCAAAGTAGCTGGAGAACGCCCGTGCCAAGCGCGCCAGCGTCTGGGCACAGAAGCCCTGACAGTCAGACAGCTTGAAAAAGGCAGGCCGGCGGCCGGACACCATTTTTTTCAGCTTCTTGCCCCTTGGCCCTAGAAAGAAGATCCTTCTGAATCTGTCTGAAGCCTCGGCTTCAAGGAGACACCTACAGGCTTGGGCTTGGTTTTGTGGGTCACGCTTGGCTTAGTGTCCAGCGGACTGGGATCATGAGATAGGTCGGTCTCCTTCGAGGGGCTATGCATTCTGATCAGCCTGTTCGACTGTCTACTTTCAAGGCGGGGCATACCATTGGGGAGGAAAGGGCATGGGGGGGGACTTTGTCAACCCAGAATCCCATTGTAGCATTGGCCTTTTGGGAGCCCGCCATCAAGAAGGGCGGCTTGTTGCCGGGTCAACCGAGGTCAGCACGGGCCATGGCCTCCGCTTTCTGCAAAGAGCCTGCCTGCAGCAGCTCCTCGTCGCAGGTCTTCAGCGGCCCGGCGCGCAGCTTGTCGCAGCAGATCTGCCACGCCACCAAGCCCGTCTTCTGGAAGTCTGCCAGCCAGGCACCCGAGTAGAGCTCGTCCCCCGCGTGGAACATGGTGACACGCCTTGGAATGCCCAAAGAGAAGAAAGCAGAGAGACCGAGAAAGAGAGAGAGAGAGAGAGAAAGAAAGAGTGAGAGATCCTCTGGCCACAACGTAGCAAGCGGCTGAAGGAACAAAAAACGAGAAAGTGATGCTTCTTCAAAGAGAAGCTTCCCACCTCTACATGAGCGATCGGACAAGCCTCTGTAAGAAAACCTGATCTCGTCCGGGATGTCATCTTTCTGGGGTTTTCCTATGTCGCTCTCCATGGATACCGTCCACTTTGGCAGCCTCCAGATCGAAAGTTACAACTTTCCAGTACTGTAGTATGCAAAGTGCACTTTGGCAGCTCCGCCTCCCAAGTCACCACCTGTCAGAACAACTTGTCCATTTTCAGAATCTTGGGGCTTCGCTTTTTCGTTTCTCACGCTTTCGTGCGACTGCCTTACTCAAAGGCATGTTTTGTATACGGAGAGTTTAGCCTACTGCTCACATTTGTCTGCCATGAAAGTGATTGAGAACGAGAAAATCCAAGCCCTCCAAACCTTGTCAAACATTGAAATCTGACTAGTGGAAAAACGATTTGCTGGCTCTTCTGGTTCTTGGACAAGGTTCTGCTGCAGTTCTTTAGCAAGATCCGCAGGAGCCGGCTGCGACACATATCCCGAGGCTGTCATGCTGCCCAAATGGCAAGTACGGTTAAAGTTGATTTTGAGCCCGACTGTAACTTCGGCGAAAGCATCGAGCATCTGACAAAACTGCCTCTCTGCAAGTGAAAGGCAGTGCTTGCTCTAGACAGGCCTCAATGTATCAGCAGGCACCTTAGGGAGCCCATCAGAAAGATTATTTTCGAGATCTTTTTCCAAGCATCGCCGAAATCAACCCCGCCTCGCCGGTGTTGGGCGCGTCGACGCCCACCTCGCCAACGTCCGCCGCGTCGATGTCTCGCTGGCCCTCGCCCTCGCGCGGGTCGTCGGGAACGATCCCCGGCTCCGGGAAGATCTCCGGGCTCGGCGCCTCGTCGTGGGGAATTTCTATCCGTTCCATTTTCCGGTCACCTTTGGAGTGGTTTAAGCTGGGTGCAGGGCGTGCTCGGGGTTTGGGGCGGTTGGGGGTGCGGGGTGCTGGTTTAGGGTGGGTTAATGAGGCCTTTGGTAGAGGGTTAGATGGCAATTGAGACGTCCTATTGTTATTGTGCCCAGTTGTTCGATTCGACCGTCTTCTTTCTCCTTTGCCACGCCTTCTTGGGCTCCATTGTAAGTCCTTTCCGAGCCTGAACAGGAAAGCACCTCCTCACCATTCGGTAAAGCAGGCGCCGTGTCTGACGTTTCTGGGACCTGTTAAAAAGCCATGCCATAGTTGGCCTTCTGTCTTTCTTTTCTGACAAGCAGCGAGGTTTTACTTCATCGTTTGGCTGAGGTATGTTTTTTATTTTTTATCGCCGACATTATGACATTAGCCTATCGAAGGCTGGGCCCACATGGGTGAGACTTCGTTGGGTCAAAATTTCGTTGCCTCGGCCTTTTCGGAAGCGGGCCTTCCTACCTTCGCGGTTGGGGGGGGTCTCCCAGGGTAGGTTTTGCGGCATGTTCACGCCAAAACGAGCTTTTCCATGTACATCGGTCTCGCCCACTGTCCTTGTCTGGGATCAGTGTACTTTGCAACGGCGGCGTGCGCCTTGTTAAATTTGAAGAAAAAATAGTGCGATGACTTTTATCGCCAGTTTGTTGTGTTAGCTTTGTGGCCATCTTTGGCGCTTGCTGGCTGATGGCAGTACCTCACTTTTGGCTTCAAACTTGCGCTCGTCGTACTCCTTCGCCCGGTTCGTGACGGTCTTAAACTGGAAAAAGAAGGGGTTCTGCGAGCCTGCTTCTTCTGTTTCCTGCTGCCAGGCGTTGGTCTTACCCTTGATCTTTCCTGTGGGCTTGCTCTTGCATTTTTGCTGCAGCTGGTAGTGAGGAACTTTGACTGGAAGGCCTCCCACGCCCCTGGTTTGTGTTGAAAGTGATCCGGACCAAGTAGGTGCCTTGCTTCTTGATTGCGTTCTCAGCCCGTGTCGGCGCGAAGTCCGTGTGCCCGAAAATGTTTAGAACCACCATAGCCGTTCTCATGGGGAGGCCCTTCACCCGGTCTTTGAGGTTTGGAAAGGCTGTCGCCATTGTGTTCCGTGTTGTACTCGTGGGCCAGAACCGCTTGCTGATTCCCCGCTTCTTTCAGGCACCATTCAATAATTCTCCCTGTGGTAGTCGTCTTCCTTCAAGTCGGGTGACCTTCTTGTACTTGAGCCTGTCAGGTGTCTGCTCGGGTTTTCAGAAGGTGGACCATCTGGCTTTCGTGCGCGTTCATTCGCCCTTGAATGTTTGGAGAACCTCCTTTACTTTGATCCCCTTTTTCTCGAGCTCTTCTTTTCCTGCCACTTCTTTCGCTGCAATTGTTGATTGACGCTTTGATTGATGATCGGGTGTTTTTGCAGGAGCCAGCTGTCTCTGTTGTTTGTCTTTATCATTATCTGCTTCCATCATAACAACTTCATTCTCTGCCATCGGTTCTGTTGCTCCTTCGCCACCACCACAAGCCCATTGTCGAATTGGGGTTTGCATGGTGATATCATCTTTTCCCTACCCTTCCTCGAACCAGAATGCTTTAGCATCGCGATGTTTGGGGTGGGTTTTGAGTGGGTGTGGAATGAGTGTTGGGCTGGGTGGGGGTGGCTTTGGGCCAAAGCAGTGTGATGGTGTGTGTTTAGCACTTCGGGAGGCTTCAAGATTGTTAAGTGTTGGTTCAGGGAGTTTGTTGAGTTGGCTTGCATTGGTTAGAGCTGGATGATTTGGGACGGTATAGGGTTGATTTATGGATGGGCTTGGGGTCGGCTTGAGGTGTTTGTTATGCTGTTTAGGGTCAGAATAGGGTCAGTTTAGGGTGGGTTTAGGTTGGATTAGAGTTGTCGCAGTAGTGAGAATTGGGTTGGTTTACATTGGGCTCCGCATGGGTTCTGGGTTGGCTGATGCTGGGCTGGTTGTCGGGTGGGAATTGGGTCGATGTAGGCTGGATTTTGGGCTTCGTTCTAGGTTGGTTTGTAGTTTAGGGTCAGACAAGGGCTTGGGCTGGTTTCGGAACGGGCTGATTTGGGATTGGTTTAGGGTGGATGTTGTGGATTTAGGGTGGGTCTAGGTGTTTGTGTATAGATAGAAAGGGCTTGGGGTTGGCTTAGGGTGGGTTCAGGGTGTTCAGGAGGGTTGGTTGAGCGCTAAGGATTGGTTGGGGGTGGGTGTTTTTTTTCAGGGTCGGGTCGCTAACTTTAAAATGCAAAGGCAATGAGCCAGTTGCGTTTGAACATGAATCCATTGCACATCTGGAGCATCAATGGAAAACTAGCTGGCAACTTGCCCCTTAGGAAGCACCACCAATTGAACCAAGCGGCAAGCTCAGTTTGCACAGCAGCCTGCTCAGTTTTGGCCTTGCAGCAGCAATCACAGTGAGCATTGCCCGGCTCACAAACAGTATGCCAAGATATGAGTCGTACAAAGCTCCACGCAAATTGAGCGGGGGCCGATCCAAATCCCTGCCTTTTCCCGCAAAATCTCAGGACTGAAAGCCTTGCAAGGCACCAAGTGCACTTGCCACTCAAGACTTTAAAATGCAATGGCAATGAGCATCTGAAAAGCATCAAATGGAAAACTAGCTGGCAACTTGCCCTTAGGAAGCACCACCAATTGAACCAAGCAGCCTGCTCAGTTTGCACAGCAGCCTGCTCAATTTTGGCCTTGCAGCAGCAATCACAGTGAGCATTGCCCGGCTCACAAACAGTATGCCAAGATATGAGTCGTACAAAGCTCCACGCAAATTGATCGGGAAGTGCATCTTTTACCTGGCCAAACAACATAGGCCCGAAGGGGGCCGATCCAAATCCCTGCCTTTTCCGGCAAAATCTCAGGACTGAAAGCCTTGCATGGCACCAAGTGCACTTGCCACTCAAGACTTTAAAAGGCAATGGCAATGAGCCAGTTGCGTTTGAACATCCATTGCACATCTGGGGAGCATCAAATGCACCAGCAATTGAATCAAGCAGCCTGCTCAGTTTGCACAGCAGCCTGCTCAGTTTTGGCCTTGCAGCAGCAGTCACAGTAAGCGTTGCCCGGCTCGCAAACAGCATGCCAAAATATGTCGTACAAAGCTCCACGCAAATTTCTCGGGAAGTGCATCTTTTACCTGGCCAAACAACATAGGCCCGAAGGGGGCCGATCCAAATCCCTGCCTTTTCCCGCAAAATCTCAGGACTGAAAGCCTTGCAAGGCACCAAGTGCACTTGCCACTCAAGACAGTGCCACACCTCCTGGATCAGCTTCTGCTGATGCCTCATGGTATCCTTCAGGCTTCGGAGTTCTTCATCAACCTCACAAGTCTCTCCATCGATCCAAATCCCAAATCCTGATCCCAGCTTGCCCGAAAAACTTTTTAAGAAGCCGCAACCCCCCCCCCCCTTTAGTTAGAGTAGTGCTTTCCCGTCCGTCGGATGGCATTTTTTCCCATACCCCCCCCCCACACGTTCAAGCACTTTTTCAAAGCCACTTATCAAATTACACCATTCAAAACCACCAAATTGAACAACCCTCTAAGTTAATCATTAGAACATTATTTTTCTAATGATTAACTTCATTTTTTAGTCCAATTCACCACCATCAGCCTGATCAACTTTCTTTCTTCTCAAAGCTGGATTATACAAAGGCATTGTCATTTTGAGTTCTTGTGTCCTCTCTTGACCTTCTTGATAATATTTGTCCTTGAATTCTTGTGTAGGTGCTTCTTCAACTAATCGTTCATAATCTGCTTTCAAGTGTTTGAGTATATTATCTTGGTGACAACCTCCAACCAAATGGAAGTCCCAGATGTCTGGGTTCACTCTTCTTTCACAAACATGACAATACACATATCCATTATTCGCTGTTTTCTCTCTACGCTTCCGAATAATTTCCTCACGATTTGCTTCAAGATACTGTTTCCGGTATTCTTTCCTCTTGTCTACAGTTCGTGTCCGATAGTCCCGTTTTTGATCAGTGCATTTATCGCAATTTTTGAGTCCATACACGAAACTATCTTCACCTTTCTCGTACCTACATCTTGAACACAGTTTTTTCTCCATACTATAGTAGGACACCTTGCCTTTAGATGGCTACAACCCTATTGTCAACAAATATCACTCCCCGAAAAATGGTTAACCAATGGAAAAGGGAGAATTAAAACCGTTAACCCAAATCTTGAAAACAATCCCAGTAAAATATGGATGGCAAAATGCGGATGGGAAAGGCCTATGTAGGAAAGCACCCCCACGGCTTATACGGGAAAATTGAATTAAAATTACAACATATAAGATCTTATATGTTGTAACTATAGCATAATCAAGTGTGGAAAACACATTGTGGAAATCGCATTCCTCCTAGCCCTATGTGAAAACCACATACCCCTATGTGAAAACCACATACCCCTATGTGAAAACCACATACCCCTATGTGAAAACCACATACCCCTATGTGAAAACCACATACCCCTATGTGAAAACCACATACCCCTATGTGAAAACCACATACCCCTATGTGAAAACCACATTGTGAACACCACATACCCCTATGCGAAAACCACATTGTGAAAATCACATTGAGGAAAACACATTGCGAAAACGCCACCTTCAAACCTTCAGAATTTCCGATCTCAAATAAGCACGAGTCACACCTTGGACATAATAATAGTCTTGTCCAAGTTTTCGCTCAATCCTTTCAATTGTGAACTTGTTTGCTGACCATGAACTCGTTCTTTCTTTCTCGGAAATCCCTTTTTTGCGGTATATTTTGACCTCATCGCCAACCCTAACAGGGGGATATTTACGGGTTTTGATTCTGTTCATCTCAAGCTTCATCTTGACCTCAAGATGGTTTCCCTTTTTGTGGGCATCGTTTGGAGTCATATCGTGGGCAGAATGAACCATTTTACTGTTGTATGTCAGCATGATCTCGGGGATATAATCAACCCATTGTATATTAACCTTTCCCTTTTTCTCGTCTGCATCAACCCTCTTGAAAAGCATGTCCTTGAACGTGCGAATGAAACGCTCGGCGAAATGGGGGTGCCCTCGTGTTTTATAGTTTTGGATCCCTTCGTCCTTGAAAAAATCGACAAGATCTTGGGTATTGAGACTCCCCTCGTCATCCGAATAAATTAATTTGGGTTTCCCTCCCATTTTGTTTAATGCCTCCATGATCCCAGCCGTGATGTCGGCAGGTTGCTTGGATGCAATAGGCACCACCACGGCTTTGCGGGAAAATACATCAATAAGCAATAAGCCTATCCTATATTTTTGATTATCTAAATCATTTTTTGATATAAAAAACAGATCCAATTGATATTCAAAGTTGATATCAGGGGCAATAAACGAATTGTATCCAGACAGTTGTTTTTTCCGTTCCACGTTCTCTTGAAACCACTCCTTGACATCTTGCATTGTTATGGATGCATCTTTCTTCTTTGCATCTTTGTAAGTGGTGGCGATGCTACCAAACCCAGCCTGATCGTAGTAGACCTCACTGATTATCTTGTCTTTTTCACTCATATATATAATACTATAAAATAAATATCAAAATATCAATATGTTTTTTTATCACTGAAGCATCTATTACAAGAAGCACAGAAGGCAATGACATTATCCTTTGCATGGGGAAGATCATTGCATAACCTTTGACAAGTCAAATTAGAGTTTATATTGCCAGAATCCATTGACAACACGAAGCCACAGCCACAATTTGCACACTTTCCGTTGACATTGTCCTTCAACCATTCGGCATCTACATAATTTTCTTTTGGAATGTCAAAGCCATTTTTACGATCCTGTTCCTTGTATGCTAACACCTTTCTATCAAAATAATTCATAATGCATTTTGCGTTAAACTCTTCATTTAAATCACTACTGTATTTGTAAAATTTTACTCTGTTTAAATCCCTTGCCCGAGTGATTCCCGTCCAAAGCCACTCGCGAGTTATCAGATGATGGTTCCAATCAAAAATGGTGACATCGTCATCAATGGAACACCCCTGAACAGAATGACAAGTATAACAGAAGGCAAAGATAAAATGACTTCTCAAGATACCAATATTTAGCGTGATCTCTTCTCGTGTTTTGATATTAGCAATGGTAATCCAAGGATCGGAAATATTAATTATCTCATACCTAAAATTCACATTTAACTTATAGGTTTTTGTCTTCCTATACTCTCTGCATATCATGATCTCGCCGACTTCAAACTCATTTTGTTTGCCCTGTCGTTTTCTGATCTGCCTTGAAACCTCTCTACAAGTGTTATTTAAATATGCGACATTGCTTTCTGTTCCTGTGATGTCATCAGTATATTTAAAATACTTATTGATGACATCATGTAGAGACAACTCATGCTCAAAGATGTCGGCATAAATGCTTTTAAGTTTATCCTTGTCCTCCTGAGTCTTCAATCGCTTGCACTCTTCCAAAAACAAATGATGAGGAAAAATGCTGTCAATACATTCATTCATATAAATCTCGTGTTTCTTAGTGTTAGTCAGTGCTTTTATGGGGCTCAACTGCTTGGCGTCACCGGTTGCCAACATTATTTTACTGTCCTTGAACTGCTCAACAAAGCCCTTGATTTTTGCCAATACAAAGGTATTATTAAAACAAATCTCGTCAAACACAATGACATCAAACATCGAATGATCGTATTTATCTAGCTTCTCGTCATTGACTGCTATACCGAAGAATTTATTTACAGTGACGCTTTCCACTTCGCACTCCAAACCCAGATTATTGGTAGGAACCACGAACAACACTTTATAACCCTTGAGTCTCTCCATGTTCTTGCAGATGGTGGACTTCCCCGCTCCTGCGAATTTAGCCTTGATCATCAAGCACCTATATTTCTCAACAAGTTCAACCAATTCATTTTCATCATACTCATTAATGATGTTAACTCTCTTACTTTTGACAATCGGGATATCAACATATTCACACTTCTTCTGTTCATACAACTGCTTTCCTGTATGATGGATCTCATCGTGAGTCTTGGCTAATTTCCACCCACCGATCCCATCGTGAAAATCTAGCAACTGCTGAGTCTTTCTCAAACCAAACTTATTAAAACCCGAACAGTCCACGACAAAAGCGTCGCATTTGACACTCAATACCTTAACATTGTTCTCTGTCAATTTTTGATATGCGCATTGCATTTTAAAATTATGATACTGCAATAGCATTTCTTTAATAAATCGAAACCCATTGGACAACTCGCACCTATCAACCACATTCAGAATATAATATAAATTGTCGTTTTGTTCAGATACTTCTCTATCACGGCACCACATGCCATTATCATCGTATTCCTCAACCCACTTGGCAGTATTCCTGCTCATCATGTTTAACTTCCCCCCTGCATCTGCCTGAAGGCTGATCGCCTCATTGAGATCATTAAAAACGAATGATCTCTGACTGCTGTTCTTACTTTTTTCCAACAAGCCAAAAATCGAGTTGGCTATTATTTTTTTAATTGCCTTGTCTTCTTCAATATTTTCGCTTATTCGCTTTCCCCAGAGTTCCTCAACCAACATTTTATTATCTACCTTGTGAATGAAATGTGGCTGTTTGTAGTGAGTAATGGACAACTCGCCAGATGCAACAAGTGGCATAAAATGCTTAAGAAACATACCATAAACTATATTAGTATCATTATTAAAAAACAGATTGTGATGTGTCAGTTCTGCTTTTACCAAATATATATTTACATCCTTGATCTTACATTTACTATTGTAAGCTTTCCAATTATCAAACTGATTAAAAACTCCTATTCTGGTAATCGTATTAAATGCATCTGTAAACGCTTTGTTCATGTCGATCTCCTGTTTTGGAACATCCAACTTATCCAAGCCCTTGAATAACTCGCCTTGTGGGACGATGGTTCTATAATGATTTAAAACGTGTATATCGGTAGGACTGTAATAAGACTTGTGATTTGGATTGAATAATTTCTTTTTGAATGTAAACATCGCTTCAGTCATATTGTTGTAAACTGTTTCTCTGTCTACCGTGATGTCACTATTGATCTGGTCGTCTATCAGACACTGTGACCTAATATTTAAATATACATTATTGAAGTCCGCCCTCAATTCTGAAATAGTCCCTGCTTTGTGAACAATCTTGCATTCATACCCGATATTTTTGAAATCGCAAAATAATTTATTTAGATCATTCTCTCTATGAACTAAATCTAAAAAGTTCTTTTCCTGTTTGTCGGTTCTGTTCGCAATTGTTGCCTTAACCATTTCAAAAATGTCATCAATAGTAGAAAACATTTTGCAAATCGATGGCTTCTCTCTATCACT